GGCCGATATATCATTTCCGTAGCACCTACGATTCGGACCGATTGAAATGAGCACGGGGAATAGTTTTACTATCCGGATAGTCCAGGAATCGACTCACCGTCCGGATGAACTATTAATTTTATCCGGCTATGCCGTGCGAAACCTGTTGACCTTTTTTTATTATATATATATATATATATTTGTTTTTTTTTTGTTTTGCTTGTACGATTCAATCGTATGCACGTATACACCTCCAATATCCAATACAGCTAAGTCATACGTTACTCCTACCCAAGTCTCCCTAGTCGCTACCTGTAACTAATTTAGAACCGGCATGCACTGCACATTATTCTTCGCATTGCAAAATGACATTGCGCATGCGTCAGGAACTTCTGTTCGAACAAACCTCACCTGCCGTCCGGGTCAGCGATTTTAAAAAGGTGGCAACACTAGCACGGAATTTTTCATTACTTATTCTGTGACGAAATGGAATTGTAGTATTTTAAATTGAGATACCTAAACTAGAAAACGGCGAAATTTTCCTTTGACCCGGGCGGCTGACACTCACGCTACGCCACTGAGCACAACTTACCACGAATGTTCGTTTTAAGTTGCGATAAGACGCTTTTGTGAATCCTGGCCTTGCGCTTGATTTGCATTGAGCATACTGTTGCTGTGGAGGGTACAGTGGTGTTTCTTACTTCGAACTTAATTCATTCTAGGAGATCGTTCGAAGTCCGAAGCAAATTTTCCCGTTAGAAATAATGGGAAGTGAATTACATTCATTCCCTGATCCTGAACATTACCCATTTCGATAAACTTAAAACTGCAAACACACATTTTTAAACGTAAAAATGTGACAATTACATGCTCTAACAATGAATTAAAACTTCAAAACAATAAATAAAATATTACGTATATACGTAAAATATACGCATATACACAAGATATATACGTAGGTTAAATAATGTATAATAAAATAAAAATTGCATTTACTGGTCGCATACTGTCGACTTCGGCATCTTATCATACCCTTTTTGGATTCCATAGTTTAATAAATGAAAGTTATATTGAGTTGAACCAGTGGCGTAGCGTAGTGGGGGCGGCAGGGGCAGCCCACCCCGGGCGGCACTTTTAGGGGCGGCAAAATTTCACAATAAATAATACTGTCTCTCTGTTATATATAACAGCCGGACCATCATCACTCAATTACAGGTAAAAATAGTCGGCCGGATGGCCAACTATTTTTACCTGTAATTGAGTGATGATGGTCAGCCTACGGTTAAGGGTCAGCCTGCCGCTCTGAGGGATCCGAACGGTTGATAAACTCTCAGAAATGATTCGTATTAAGTAGTATATCCCAGATATGTCAAGTCCCGTCACTCACCACCCATTCGCCCATTGTGTGCCTGTCCAAACCCACGATAGGCTTGAAAAAAAGACCCTCTTACTTGTTAGTACCCACAGGGCAGAAAGAGTTTTAAAAAATGTAAAATATAAGCGAATTTAATAACAATTAAAATTTTGTTTCGATTTTATCATCGGCTTCATTGTTATTTTGCTAACAATAGTCAAAAACAATAATTATATTTTTTCTCAAATAACGGATAAAACAATTTTGTTACTTGAAAATTTTAATCTATTCTTGAATACAATGGAATCGGTTGCATTATTCAAAGGTATTGATATAAAAAATCGGATAATGAATAAACTAGGCAGTGGATCACTTGGAGATGTATACCTCGGATTAAATACTGGAAATGGGTAGCTAGTTGCGGGTAAGTTAGAACCTTTTACTCTCAATCGCTCGCAACTTTTGATTGAGTATATAGTTTATAATACCCTGCAAAGGAGGATATGGTATTCCCAAAATTATATGTTTTGGAAAATATATAGAATATAATGCTTTAGTCATGAACTTACTCGGTCCGAGCCTCAAAGATCTATTTAACTATTGCGGAAGGAAGTTCATTTTAAAATGAAATTGATGCATGCGCTTAGAAGTAGGAAAACCATCACAGTAATTGGCTGTAGCTATCAATTATTTTAGCTAACCACAATACATATTGCGTTTATTTGTATTGTCACTATGTTTTATTTTGCAAGATGCTAGCATTGTTATAAACATTTACGCTAAAAATCTTTTTGAATTTTTTTTTTTTTTTCTGTAAATCGCATTTAAACAGACCTTTTCATTTTTGTGTTTTTGAATATATATAATAGTAAAGGTGTTTCTCGGACATCTTTTAGTCTACTATAATTCAAAAACACATCTTTAATCCGGATACTGCAGTCTTGATGATTCAGCTTTAAAGTATATGTTAATATGCTTATGAATTTGGTTTGAATATGAATTTTGAACCAAACCTAAATTTGCTTACGATCTTATCACAAATAAAAAAATAAAAATAAAATAAAATCACAAAAGTGAAAAATTTGAATTAGAAAAATATTTCGAAATAGTTTGAAGTTAGGATTATCGAATAGGCCTACTTTGATACCCAAATTACGATTATACGATCCCGAATATTTTACACAGTTGGTATATCTATTTGACATTAATATTTAACTTGGATAGAAATATAGAGTATAAATGAAAATATTAGCGTACAAATAACGCTTTTTAGCCATGCCGACCGCCATAGTTCAAATGATATCTTCCCACGTGATTTTTATGATATCATTGCTAAACGGCCTTACTATTGGTCTAATTTTTATCGTCCCACTTTTCGCTACGGCAAAAGTTGAAAATTTTCAAATTTGTATTCCGTCGCATGTGAATACTAGGCTTAAGAGGGTCTTTTAAACATACACTTTATGGATTCGGCCGGTCTATATGTCCCGAATATGTTGGCCATGTCTCCTAACGGCGCCCACAATGAAGCGGTCCAGGCTGCTTCATTGTGGGCGCCGTTGGGTGGGAGCCAAGGCCGACGTATCCAGAACAAATCACTCCAAAAAACTTTCCGGATTTATCGTCCTGTCCGGATTTCATCCCTAGTCCCCCGGAGCGGGGAGTTAGTATCCGGACAGCCTAGCCATTCGGGCATTTTTCTCCTTACCAACTGTAGCGCTGGCAATCAGTTGGTAAGTTGCAATCGCCATCCGATAGTTTATAACAACTAATTAATCACTAAAAAGAAAAACAAATATGCATATATCATTTTTTTAAAATTCTTTCCGCCCGGTGGGCACTAAGAGGGCATTTTTTAGCAAGCCCATTATGAGTTCAGCCAGGCCCACAATAGAACAACCGGGTGGTGAAAGACGAGGGCCGATATATCAGGACAGACCACCCCCAAAAAATTCATGGGAATTTATCGACCCGTCAAGATTCGAGCCCGGGTCCTCCAGTGCGGTAGGCTGCCATCTTGACCACGCTGGCCATCCGCCCGCCATATTTCAAGGTTGGCGTTATGACTCCAACCTTGGTATTATGCAGCCATTATATCAGTGGTCTCGCTGTATAGTACCAAAATCGCCACTTAGCAATATTTTTATTAAAGTGCCAATATAAATTTCGACATTCAGAGTGAATTGAATCACATTGATAAAAGTACAGTACCTGTTAGCGCCTACAGGGCCGAAAGAGTAAAAAAAAAAAAAAACAAACAAAAGAAAACAGTATTTATATTTTCTTCAATTGTGCCAAAAATAAATATAAAATATATAAAAAAGTAAATTTTAAAATTATGTATAAAAATTAATGTCAACATTTAGTTATTATATAAAAATAAATTAGTTGATTATTACTAATATTTCGATACATTCAAATTCCATAATTTAATTTCAACGTGTATCGACAGATGGCGGGAACGAGTAAGTGTTTTTTTCAGCTTTAGGGTTAAGAGGACCGTTGGAAGTTATCGTTTATGATCCGTGACGATAAATGTTGAATTTATCGGATTAATTTTTAACAGAGATGAGTTCAAAAGTGCAGTATAAAAGTGGGGACCTGGTCTTTGCCAAAGTGCGAGGATATCCACCTTGGCCTGCAAGGGTAAGTTTTGTGGAAAGGGTGAGAAACCACCAAAATTTGACAAGGACGTTAACCCTAAATATAGGCTTAAACAATTTTCGATTTAATAGTAAAATATTATTTTTCTTAATATTCAACGGTTTTCTACTTAAATTAGTAAATTTGATTATTATTTTTTAAATATGAACGCGAGAATATTGCAGTTTACATAGTTTAATTATCTATCAAGTGTTTTTGATTTTAAATGTGAGTTGCAATCATCAGTTAAACGTAACGTTCATTTTTTAAACCGTGAATAATCTAAACTCGAAAGAGTAATTGTATGTGATTTACATATTAATAGATCCAAAAAAATATCCACTGTTTATCACAATATCTAGGCCTAAATTTGAAAATGTGTAATTTTGTATATTAAGCATTTGTTTTGGGTTATGTTAATAAATGTGTAACCAGTGATCACATTTGGCCTGACTTTAGTTTGTTAACGTTTTTGTAAAAGTCCATCTTTAACAGAGCATAACTATTATTTTAAAATGTTTTTCATATGCTTGTTTTTTATTAAGTAAAATGTAGTGATAGATACTCTGGTTCAAAAACACAAGTTTCTTTTCCTGTAATGTCAATGTTTGCTGCATTCGGCAGACTCGATGGTTCTGGAGCTGTTGAGTATTTTTCTGCCGAATGCCCTCTGCAGTTGTCTCCATTTCGAAACATGTTTGGTGTTTTGATGTCGCATTTGGTAGCATCTTTCGTTTATGCTACCTATTGCTAGCTGCAACTGACCAATGATGACTGATTCATATTTTGATGTGTACGTTGTTCGTCGTTCGGAAGATGTAACTACGTAATGGCTACCAATTGAAACATCCTTGCTCGGTTGCAGCTGTTGAGTCTGCTGAATGCAGCCATTGTATAACATTATTATAATTGCAGTTTTATATAGAGATGGGTGAATATCACATTTCTTAAATTCAAATATTAACCTAATCTCGAATATTTCAAATACTCAAATATCTTAAATACGTAGTATACATAGCTTACAGGTAAATGCAGTATAATTACCTTATATAACTTATGTAGTTAATAATTTCATAAACCATTATTTAACTTGTTTTATTTATTTAAATACATTAATTGATGATGTAAAAAAAAAGTAAAAAAAAATTTGCTAAATTCTAAGGAAAAACTTCAAACTTTATTTTGAAAAAAATATTTTAGTTAATATAAAAATTAATGAAATGGCCAATTATATAATTTATAATATAATTTATTTATTGTTCTTGGCCATTTCATTAATTTTTTGTAAAATACTTTTATTGCGATTGTGCCGTCAGCTTGAAATTGTTTTTGAAATGTTTTTACATAATGAGGTGGATGATAAGCCTGAAATAAAAGGTTGACTCTGTCTATAAAGACTATTTTGTTCCTGAAGTTTGAAAGGAGACAGTATGTTAAGACTTTTGCTGTTTCTTCCAAATTGTGAATATGTTACATTTTTATTTTCACTTTGAGCCTTCATTTTAGGTACTGTTATCTTAATAATTCCTTCAAATTGTTTATAATGAAATTTATTACATTACATACACTTTAAAGCAACAATGAAAGGAATTGTGATCTATAATGAACACATTGCCAAGTGTGCATTTGAAAACCAAAATATTGTTTTATTAAAAACAACATTGGCACTGATACAAAAACTGTATACAGTGGACCTCACTTAACGAACATAATTTGTTCCAGAATCTTACTTGTAATGTGAAACAGTTTTTCCCATAGAAATTACAGTAGACCCCCTATAATGCGGATTCGTATATCGCAGCGAAAAAATTGCAATCATATTTGTATAAAGACACTAAAAGAGACTCGTAAAATGCGGTAAAACGTCATCACTGACTCGTGTCGTGACAGGATTGGTCAAATCTGGACCAATAGTGGACGAGCAGCTAAACTACTTGCACGCTACGGAGAGTTTAGGCGGGTAAGTTGAGTTTACTATCGTCTGTACAGTATATAGGCCTAAATTAAGTACTGTAAGTCTAATACAGTACTGTAATTTTATACATTTCTTATTCAACGGTCATAAAAATTATTTCTATTAACGATGTCTCCAAAGTTCAATGAATTTTTCGCAGAAAAATAACTTATCAGAAAATGCGGCTGCCATTTGGTGCGTTGCTCCGCGATGAAACAAGCTTAAGCAATGGCATCGTTGAACGGTGCACACTCGGTAAGTAATCCTACAATTTTTTGTTTATAGTATAGTTTATACAGATTATTCCCAAAAAATTATACATGTTTTGGAAATGTTGAGTGAAATTAGTCTAGAATCGATTAATTTTATGCAAGAAAACCTTTCAAACAGCAGTAGTCCGTAAACTGCACATGTGCCAGGCTCATGTATTTGAGGATTTCTACAATGCGAAATTCTTATAAAGCGGAATGTATCTATCGCATTATAGGGGGTCGACTGTAATTCTAAAATATGATAATGTGTTCCATGCCAAGAAAATACTCAAATATTTTATATATAATGCTTATTCAAAGAAAATTACACAATATACATTGTTAAGGAGTGTGAATCATCTTCATCTTTTCTTCTAGTGCAGAATGAACCAACCTGGAATGGAAATTTGATTTGCAGAAAACAAAAAAATCACAGATAATTGAGAGGTTGCAGCTGAAGTTTTCATAGCAAAAATGTGAACATCGGAAGTTCAGTGCCGCCATCCTATAAGCCTAGAAGTTTGACAATGGTGTTTGGAATATCAGTGGAATCATGCTTGACATTCCAAATGCCATTGTCAAACTTTTAGGCTTATGGGATGGCGGCACTGAACTTCTGACATTCACGTTTTTGTGATGAAAATTTTGACCGCAACCTCTCTCTTATGTCTGATGAAGACACCAAACGATATGCCAAATTCTTGGGCTATGTAAAGGCTATAATTAAATATTAGAAATTAATTAATTTGACTAGAGGTAGGCAGTTATACTGCCATATCATATTAAATTTAATAATTGTCTAAATTAAAAATTAATTATTTATATTTTAAAAATTTAATTTGGAATTGGTCATTAAATTTAGTAAGAGATGGCATGTTTATTACATAATAGGCTATTGTCAATGTTTATATGTAATGTGTGTGAACACAAGTTTGGAAAAATGCATGATCACGAGTGACAGTAAAATGTTACGAGTACTAAACACAGACTGAGTGCTAAACACAGTGAGCAGAACGAGTGCTAAACATAGACTGATGGAGCATGCACACAATCCGAGATTTTCTCTCTCCTTGTCACTCATTATGTGAAACATCGCTTATTAAGCGAGTCAATGTTTTATAATTTGTTTTGCTCCTTATTCAAAGTGCTCATTAAGAGAGGTTCCACTGTATAATGAAAATTTTTGACACTACTATTACAGCTTTTGGTGTCAGAATGATTACTTGACATTCCTGATATCAACTTTCCATAGCAAAATAATTATGAATGTAAAATGTAGTCATTGAATAAAGGTTTCATACTGTATTGCGTTTTGTGTATATCTAAGATAAAACAGTAATTATTTGAAAACGATTGATCTACACATGCTTGACAGAAGTTTCTGAACCTGTAAGGTTTGCAGGTATGTTTTTGGAGATATCACTGGCTTTTCTGTGTGCTTTTTAAATGGTTATGTTAGTTCACTTGTCTACAATGTGTTTGTGTGTGGAAGGCCGTAAGATGAAAAACATCGCATATGAATTCTCTATAGTAGAGAAATAAATCTAAAGATAAATTTGAAAATAATTCTTTAAATATATTTCAAATTATTATTCAGAGGAAGTTGGCAAGGATTTAATTTTTCCAACAACATCTTTAAATAGTATCTGTAAAAAATGCTCTAATCTAGACTAATTACATATTTTCAACAAATGAGAACACTTTTATCAATGATCATGCAAATTGTATCGGGTTTTACACCAAATACTAAGAAAGCAGCAAAGGCATTTCCACATGCATCCCAATCGACTCTATTTGGTTGTTGCTGTACTCTCAGAAAGTTCGGAGATGTCAGTATTAATATGATAATACAATCTTTTTACGAATACTTTGACTTCAGAGAGATTTTACCCTAATTTATAGAATTGAATATACAAATACATTTTGTGTCATAATAAGAGAAAATCCAATTATCATTGCTATGCAGAATTTGTATATAATCCATATCAGATCTGATGGAAAAATAATTGCAGGATTTTCGATATAATTTGGTGGTAACATGAAATAATAATTACAGTTTTGTAGAATATGGGCAAAACATGTCATGTGAAAATCCTCTAGTTTTCCATTTTATATAATAGTTGTTCTATCACTAACTCGGTTCTAACTAGCTTGGTAAATAAATGATTCATAATTTAATAAAACTATAATAATGAAATCAAAACTTATTAATTTTTTTTTTCAAAATTCGAATATGTATCCAATAAAGGACAAATATGCAGTAGTACCTTCTATTTCCAACAATTGTAATTTTGAATGTTAGAGGTGGGTAGTTCTGGTCAAACCACTTTGGACTCAAAAGTATTAGAAACAGTTCCAGAACTACCAACACATTCTTCATTTTGTAGTTTTATGAATGCAGCTTTTAAACCTTTCTATCTGGATTTGAACATAAAATTAATTGACAATGTTCCACGATTTTTAAGGAATAATGAAATTAGTTTTGAGTATTTTAAATTTATGGAGATATTTTAAAAATTTATGCTTTTATTAGAGTTCTTAATTATATGTTTTTATTGGTAAACTAGCAGACATGCAGCATTGCCCAGCCAAAAAGTAAGAAGGATAAGTATTAAAATGAAAACTATATTACAAGCTATGTTATTTTAGGCTACTGTTATCATCATGAAGGATCAAGGAGATCAAATCAGAAGGAGAGTGGGGTGATCAGATTTCATGGAAGTCTATATTTTCCTTGGAGTTAATAAGGAGGATGAAATCGGGAAGCAGGGGTATCCATGTTTTACGGTAGTTTATAT